AAATATCGATATATTGATATTTTGATATATTTACTCTCTCTATCATATTTATATTCAACTTGAACAACTTCAAAATACAGTGATTACGCCCTTACCCTATCAATAGCCCAGTCTGTATCGCATATATCTCTTCAGAGTTATACAGCAAAAGGTGTTTTAAAATAAGAGTCTTACGAAATAGAAAAAATTATTCATATAACAACTCAAATATTCGTTTTTAGCACAAATTTCAGTGGGAATCTGCTGTCACATTTTTGTCGTTTTTCTCACTCTATATGCCCGAACCTGTCTATAAGATAATTCCTTTGCTTTGCAGTTAAATTCCTGAATTGCATTTCCAACTTTAAGCAATGAATTTAAGTTTCGCTTTTAACATTATATCAAAAACATTTATTTTTTCTCAATATAAAGCTCGACACACACACAAACGCATACTCATGCAGCTTGGCGGCGCCCCAAAAAAGCGTCGAGCATTAAATTAATTGTGGGAATATCTCAAGGCGGCCTTCGCGAACTTTCGCCTTTTGTAGTCCTTGTTGTTGTTTACATTGAAGTCCGGGGCCAGCTGCGTCTGAGGCGCGTCAACATGATTAACGTGATATTATCAAAGTGTATGTGTGAGAGCGCGAGTGAGTGTGCTCGTGTGTGTGTGAGTGTTTGTCCGGTACTCAGTGTAGTTTATAAGCCCCAGCATCACTTTGCATGCTTCATGTGGCGATTTTTTCTCCTTTTTCCTTGTTGTTTTTTTTTGCTTCAAAAGAGGAAAATGGGTTGACTTGGGCAATACCCTGTAAGCTTGAATTGGAATCTTCGGTTAGGCATATGTTTATAGTGCATATAGAGTAAAGTCAGCTATAGTTGAACTACGTACAGTCATAACACAGCCAACTTCAAGTGAGTCTTGGCCAAGTAGAGCTCGATCTGGAATTCTTAGTTGAGTATTTGGTATATATACTTACATATATATTTATGCAGTAGAATCCGGTTATAACGATAAACTTATATGAGCTTATGGTTATATGGTTATAGGGTACTCTGGTGGTCCTTTGAGTCGGATCTACTGTACTCGGTTTATACTCTATCACGTTAATCATATTCGCTATATATATATATACAGACGTATAAGCGGAGTTGTTATAACCGGATTCTACTGTATATATATAGATAGAGTAAAATCAGCTCTAGTTGGATTAAATTCTTATCTGAATCTGCCAACTTCAGTTGGCCAAGTAGAACCTAATCTAGAATTCAGATCTAGAATTATAAGACTCTAGTATATTATTATTACTAGAAAACCAATATACTCTTTTCAATTCATGAACAATTATCTGTAATATTTTCTTCACAATAGGTTAGTATATTTATACTATATATGTATATAATCACAGCAAAGTAAGCTCCACTTGGTATTACTTTCAGCTTCAGTTGAGTGTATAATTCGCAGCTAAGCATTTCGTATATTATGATTATTATATGTATATTTTGAGTATATTTGAGGTATATATTCCTAATATATACATTTATGTACATATATGCACCGAGCAAACTCAGTTCTAATTGAGATAGCTTCATGCATAGCTCAGCTAGCTTCAGTAGAGTCTAGAATTCTCAGTTAAGTATCTGGTATATTTTTTGGTAATATGTGTATATTTTTAGTATATTTAAGATACAGTTTAATAATAATAATATACGTATATAAATAGAGTAAACTCAGCTCTAGATGGGGTAGTTTTCAACTTCAGAGTCTAGAAATCTAAGTTAAGTATTTGGTATATTGTTAGTAATATTTTTAGTATATTTAATTATCCCATATTAATAGTATTTATGTGTATATAAATGTAGTAAAGTCAGCTGTAGCTGCAATAGCCTTATGCATAGCTGGCTTCAGCTGCCTCTTGGCCAAGTTCTCAGCCAGGCTAAGGTCTTGCCTCCGTTAGGGCGTGGCATTCGCAATTTCATTCCAGGGTATCTCGACTGTGTTGGTGGTGCCCTGTGTTCTTCTTTATGTAATTAATTGACACATGTGCAGCAAGGCGTGGCATGGGCTGCACACCCTCTCGACCCGTGCCACGCCCATCAACACTTGGCGCATCGCATTAACTGTTATTATTATTTATTATTTTCGCTAGGCATCTTCCGTTTCTTTCTTTCTGGTTGTAGTTGCTGTAGTTGTTGTTAATTAAACTAAAGCGTTCTGACCCGCCGCCCGCCGCCCGCTGTCCACCGCCCGCTGCCCGATCCAGCCGCTGTCGATCCTGGCCGCAGGCGCACGCTGTTCGGGGAATTGCCGCCAATTCATTTTGCCGCATTTTAAATGCTGAAAGTCATTTACAAAAAAGGGATCAAAAGGATATCAACGGCATTGGGTAAGGATGCATCAGCTGCGAGGCGTATACATATATATATATCTGTGTGTGTGTGTGTTTCCCTCTCCCCCTTCCCCTTCCCCTCCCCCCACCCGGTACGTTGAAAATTTATTGTTTTTGCCATTAGCGCGTCGAACAACGGCAACGGCCGTAAAGCGACGCCGCGTTGTTAATGCGCGAATTCATTAAGCGTATTGTGGGCAGTGCCACGCCCATGCAACGCCCATTGGCACGCCTTTTGGTTAATTGTAAACAAATGCCAGGCGAGACCTGAGCAGGCCAGGCTCGGCCCGGCAACTCTCGCTCGATTTAAGTAGGCGAGATTCATGAGCAAATTTCAAAAGGAATTTCATGTCATAATTTTCTGTCCTCGTTTTTCTCACTTCTCACTGGACGCAGCAGCGAGCAGTACGGGTTAAATTTCTCAAAAAAAAAGTACAATTTTATAAAAAACTATTTTCATTTTTTTTCTGTGATTTTTTCTTTTTTTTTCTTCATTCGAATTATTTTCTTCAAACGAACTATGTCGGTTTTATCGAGCCCCTTGTCCATCGACGGCACACGCCAGTCCGGCAAATCGGTGCGCACTCAGAACGTGACGGCCGCACTGGCCATAGCGAATATCGTGAAGAGTTCGCTGGGGCCGGTTGGGCTGGACAAGATGCTAGTGGACGATATTGGGGATGTGACGATTACCAACGATGGCGCCACTATTCTGCGCCTGCTCGAGGTGGAGCATCCGGCGGCCAAGGTGCTGGTCGAGCTGGCCCAGCTGCAGGACGCGGAGGTGGGCGACGGCACCACGTCCGTGGTTATACTGGCCGCCGAATTGCTGCAGAATGCCGATGAGCTGGTTAAGCAGAACATTCATCCGACATCGATCATATCGGGCTATCGCATCGCCTGCAAGGAGGCCTGCAAATACATATCCGAGCATCTGACTGTGCCCGTGGAGTCGCTGACCCGCGACTCAGTGGTCAGCATTGCCCGTACCGCGATCGGCTCCAAGATCATTGGCGCCGATGCTGACTTCTTTGCCAACATGGTCGTGGATGCCGTGCAGGCCGTCCGGTTTGGCGATGCCAAGGCAGCGCCGAGCTATGCCATCAGCTCGATAAATGTGCTGAAGGCCCACGGCAAGTCGGCCCGTGAATCGATGATGCTGAAGGGGTATGCCCTGAACTGCACCCTTGCCTCCCAGCAGATGCCCAAGAGGGTGGTCAATGCGAAAATCGCATGCCTGGACTTTGGGCTGCAGAAGACCAAGATGAAGGTACACGTCCAGGTCCTGATCAACGATCCCGACAAGCTGAAGGCCATTCGCGCCCGTGAGCTGGACATCACCAAGGAGCGCATCGGCATGATTCTCAGCACCGGCGTCAATGTCGTCCTCTGCAGCGGCGGCGTCGATGATCTCTGCATGAAGTATTTCGTGGAGGCCGGCGCCATGGCGGTGCGTCGCGTCAAGAAGAACGATCTGATGGTCATTGCCAAGGCAACGGGTGCCGCCTTCCTGACCTCGCTGACCAACTTGGACGGCGAGGAGAGCTTCGATGCCTCCATGATGGGCGAAGCAGCCGAGGTGGTCGAGGAGCACGTCTGCGATGACGATCTGATCTTCATCAAGGGCCCCAAGGCACGCACGGCCGTCTCCATCTTACTGCGCGGCCCCACCGACTCCTACTGCGACGAAATGGAGCGCTCCGTGCACGATGCCCTCAGCGTGGTGAAGCGTGTGCTCGAGAGCAAGAAGGTTGTCGCTGGCGGCGGCTGCATAGAGGCCGCTCTCTCCATCTACCTGGAGAACTTTGCCACATCGCTGTCGTCGCGCGAGCAGCTGGCCATAGCCGAGTTCGCCAAGTCGATGCTGGTCATCCCCAAGACGTTGGCCATGAATGCCGCCCAGGATGCCACCGAGCTGGTCGCCAAGCTGCGCGCCTACCACAACTCGAGCCAAACCAATTCCACCTATGGCCATCTCAAGTGGGTGGGCCTGAACCTGACTGACGGTGTCGTGCGCGACAACAAAAAGGCCGGCGTACTGGAGCCGGCCATTTCCAAGATCAAGTCCCTGAAGTTCGCCACAGAGGCTGCAATCACCATATTGCGCATCGACGACATGATCAAGCTCAATCCCGAGGAGAAGAGCACCAAGACCTATGACGATGCCTGCGCCGCTGGCGAGCTGGACGGCTAGATACCCGTCACCCTTTCACCTCATCCACTTGCCTAAGCACACTCACTCTTAATCAACAAGATCCTACGACAACACACACACACACCCATACACACTCGATACTTATGTGCCTCACATTTACCATATAACCCTGTAAGCAATTTAACTGTTCATTCCCTTCTGCTACATGCAATATGTAAATTCGTTCATGTGAAATGCATCGAAAATAAAGCATCGGCACATCTGAGAGCAAAACCCAATTCTTTTATTTAGGGTGAGGCTACGGGCTCTGGGATAATGTGTGAAACAGGCAAAATGAGGCGTGGCAGACTGCATAAAATATATATATTGGAATCGGGTAATAACGACTCCGCTTATAACGTTCCTACGGTTATTGCGACGAAAATTCTAACCCGCTGGCAAACGTATATATGTATGTATGTATATGGTAAAAGCGACGCTCAAGGGATCATCGTAATAAGCGGATTCTACTGCATAGTCTTGAGTGGGGCGAGGAGCTGTGTCTATGTAGCTATGTCTGTCTGTCCGTCGGTCTATACGTCCGTCTCTCCTCTAGTCTATCCGTCGGTCTGTTCGTTCGTTTATCCTGCCGTCTATCCGTTCTTCTATCCTTTCAGCTATCCTTCCGTCCGTCTGACCATCTACCCGTCGATCTATGTCTCTCCAATTGTATGTTAGTTCGTCGTCCTGTCCATCTAACCGTCCATCTGCTTATTTGTCCGCCTCTTTATTCATCCATCCGTCATTCTGTTCGTCCATCTGTTCGTCCGTCTGCTCCACTGTCTGCTTCTTTGTCCGTCTGTCCATTCTTACGTCCGTCCGTCCGTCAACCTTCCGTCTGTTTGTACGTCTGCTCCACTCTCTGCTTATTTGTTAGTCTCTCCATTTATCCGTCTGTCCGCCCGGCCGTATAAGCAACTCATCTGTCCATCTGTCTGTCTGTCCATCTGARCGAACTCTGTCTAGCACAATCTAGCTAGAGAATTGTAAAATGTCGAATCCTATACACATAAAAACCGCATTACGACATTACAAATATTTCTTCGTTCCATTTCCCGTTCGATATAATTATCGAAATGTCGATGACATCAAACATATGTCAGAATCAGTTTGATATTAATTATCGATATTCTATTTACAGTCTCTGAATATAATTTCCAAGAGTATGTGCTTTGCCTATCAACAAGGTAGCTCAAGTATCCATACATATGTCAAGTTTCCCCGCATCCATAGCTCTACTCAATCCAGATCTTTATCTTGTCGTCTAACTGCTTATATCTGCTATAACTCCTCCATGGTATCTCCCATAAATCTCGCTCTGCTCTCGCCACATTTGATTGATTAATGCCCACTTATCGATACATGTATGCACATTTTGTTTGCTAATTATCGATAGTCCAGCTCGCTACCATTGGCGTGGCATATGCCCAGCTGGCTGTTGCCGTAAATGGAGCTGTTTTTCAAGCCGCTGGCTGCTCATTAGCCACTTGTCCGGCTGCTCGTTTGTCTGGCCATTAACCAGCTACAACTTCAGTTGCTCCGACTCCTGCCGCATCCAGGTACGGCCAAAGTTTTGCTGGGCATTGTTGTCGATTTTAAAATTGACGCCCTGCTCCGGGCGTGCCGGTACCCCGGGCTCTGCCAGCCCAACAACTACTACAGCAATTAAACAGCGGGCGGTCTGGGAGCGCGACCAACAGCGAAGGTGACCAACAGCCATCGAAGTTCGTTGGCGGCGACAATCAATTTACCTGTCGGCCATCATGGCCAGGCAAGGCAGGTGGAGAGTGGAGAGAGGAGAGAGGAGAGAGGACAGAGAGGAGGCGGCCCAACGGCGTCTGATAAATGAGAAAAGTTTTAATGCCCGGCGCTCAGGTCGGCTCATTGGCATTTTTACGATGTCGGACCGGGACAGCGTAGGCCGCCCCGGACAAATAGCCAACAAATGAGACGAGCCCGGGTTGCTTAATAGAAAAGCGCAGCGTATGCAAGACAAGCGAAATTGCGGACAACAGCAGCAGCGCAGCAGCAGCGGCGGCGGCAGCGGCAGGCTCTGTGGGTTACCCGAAAACACAGAGCCACTGCCCAAGTGGGGCACTTAAAACTTTTGCGCATGCAACCACCGGCCCCTGATGTTGCTGCCTCCGCCCCTGCCCCTGCCTCTGCTGCTGCTGTTGCTGCAAACTTTCCCTTTTTTTCTCTCTCGCTCTCTCTTCTTTTTTTCTGAGGCGCCAACTGGAGGAGGCGGCTCCGATATGCAGGGGCGTTGGCCCAGCAATTAAATGAACAGCAGCCAGCAGGAGGCGGCATCTGTAATGCGAACAACGCTTTAACGCAGCAGCCATTCAGCCAAGAGCCGACTTTGCATATACCCTTACCCTTACCTACACCTTACCTTACATAGAGCTCCAACTTGCTCTAAGGCAAGCTCAGTCTTATCCAAGGTAGAGCATTATTATGTGGACATTGGACAGTCAGGACTATAGCCAAAGCTGAGCCTAGAAGTCGCTTTTGCGCAACGACAAATTGCAGAAGACTCCGGATACAACGACGCTCAAAGGATCGTCCCTCAAGAGATAGTTGTCATAACCGGAAGACGCCATAAGCATATGAGTTTGTCTGAGGGCGACAAATTTCGTTGTCGTTATAACAGGGTTCATAAATGTTTTCAGCTAGATTTTTCTTTAAACTATATATCAATATATACAGTAGAATCCGGTTATAACGACACTCAAGGGACCGTCGTTATACCCGGAAAATGCTATAACCGTATAAGTTTGTTCATAAAAATTTGTCTGGGGACTAGAATTTGCGTCGCTCTAACCGTACAGACGCTATAAGCGGATTGGTTATAGCCGGACTCTACTGTATATATATACTATAAGCATACAGTTGAATCCGATTATAACAACGCTTAAGGGACATCGTTATGCCCCTGAGACGCTATAACCCAGTGGAGGCCCTTTCATTTAAGTGGAATCTCTTGACTGGATTCCACTTAAATGATCGAATTTTCGTCGCAATAACCGGGCAAACGCTATAAGCGGAGTCGGTGTAATCGGATGCTGCTGTATTTACTTCTCTATCTATGCATATACAGCTACGCCTTTAATTAGTTAACTGTGATTTTTATTTCATTGAGTATTGGTTTTCTAATGTTGATTTTACAATTCTCTAATTTTAATTTTGTTCAATTTTTTTTAATAAAATATTTTAGTTGTTTATTTACTTCTTGATTTATTTTCTCCTGAATTTTTAAATTTTACATTTTTTTCTGTTTTATTTTTACATTTTGTATTTCATTTGATTTTTTTTTTTTTATTTTATTCTTCAATTTTACATTTCATTTGATTTATTTTCTATTTTTTTTTTTTTCGTATTTTTTTTTTAA